GGTGGCTGCAGCAGGAGTTGAGGCAACCAAACTTTGGTCGCTACGTTTTGTTCACTGACGAGTCCTGTTTCACAAAGGAAGGTTATTTTAATAGCCGTAGCAGTCACATTTGGGATGAAGAAAACCCTCATGCCATAGCCATCCATAGAGACCAACATAGTTTTCAATTAACATCTGGTGCGGCATTGTGGACGAGCATATCATCGGGCCATATTTGCTTCCACCACGTTTGGATGGGCATGCTTATGGTCGATTCTTACAGCATGTGCTACCGGAACTATTAGAAAATGTGCCACTGAACGTAAGAGCCAACACGTGGTTTCAACACGATGGCGCTCCAGCCCACTTTTCTTTACAAGTGCGGCAGTATTTGGACGACAAATAGGTGGATCGGCCGAGGTGGCCCTGTGCCTTGGCCTGCGCGGTCACCCGACCTGACCCTACTGGATTATTTTCTCTGGGGCCATCTGAAAGTTTTAGTGTACGAAACTACTGTTCCCAACCAACAAGAGCTACTGGAAAGAGTGATGGCCGCGTCCGCACATGTTCAGGACAAACCGGGGGTATGTCACAGAGTTCGCCGATCATTGAACAATCGTGCACAGCTGTGTATTGAGCAAGGTGGAGGACACTTTGAGCAATTACTGTAGGTAAGCTGTTTCAAGAAACTGATCTTTTTTTTTTGCTGCATCCCAAACGGCATATTTCCGAACAGGGGTTTATAAGGCAAAATTGTTCATTTTGATGCCCTCTACAACCCCTATCATTTTGTCGCAATAATTATGGAACACCCTGTATAATGTATCCACCTGGACAGCATCTGCGTGATACAAATAAACCTACACTGCTCGGGCAAAAACCTGAATAACGTCTTGGAGACACCGTAAACTAAATCGATGACTTTGCTATATGAATGCTCCAATTTAGGTTTTATCAAATCCGATTTGTTAGGTGCCCCATATTTTACTGACGCACGTTGTATCTTTTCACATTGAACGCAGAGCCGGACTAGCCCATCCATATTTATTCGGAACTTGATATCTCGCTTATCTTGAGGCTGTGGTGTAAGAGTTACTAGGAAAAATTGCTTGTTGGTGGATGACATATACGCTCTGTGAATTAAAGTTCCAAGTTTAAGGATGCCTTGTACAGTGACGTCGTTTCATTAAGTGAATCACACCCAAATGAGGATCTGGTTATCATGTTCTGCTGAAGAGTAGGTGCTGGGAAGACAGTTGTCCAAGCCTAGCCTAGCTGACACAGGTCACGTCAATCGCAGCAGTTATAGGAAGACAATATACAATCTAGATCTAGGAAGTACGTTTCACGATGACTGTTGGTGGAAGCAACAATCGAAGATTGACTTCGATATGGGGATGACATCATCATAATTTGGAACTATAAAAAACCAAGAAATTCGCGGTACCCGCAGGCGGGCTGCAAAAAAAAGAATTCGCGATTACTTGCTGTTCACCTGAGAGGCGTTTTGACCTACTGATGAGCGTTTATGTCACCCAATAAGAAGCGCGACGATAGTATGGCCTGTTCTATCTGAATCAATGTCAGTGGTGAATCCAGAAGGGATGTCTTGAGCTCCTTCGAAATATCCTAGCTTGAAAAAAAATCGAACGTGTTCTCCAATTTGCAGACTATACCTCCTTCCTTCAATTTTGAATCGCCAATACCCCCTAACCTTGAGACGGACATGTTCCCGAACATGAATCCTGAACCTGATCTAAGGCCCTACAATTGTAGGGCGCATGTATGGCCTCCTTGATTGTCATACTCCTTTCTCTCCTTCAAAAATTTCTAGATTACACTTGTCCCGTGTCAGCGTCAGCGCTCTCCTATTGTGAAGATATGTTTTCTTTTTAAATTGCAGAAAATTTCAGGCTGATAAAACATGATATAACTCAAAAGCAAGCACAATTTGATGCAAATAGATGTTTGTGACATAACCTCAAAATAGAGTTCTGACACGAAGAAGTAGAAAACTATGACAATCAAGGAGACCATAAAAGCGCCCTACAATTGTAGGGACGACTGACGATACGGGCCTAAATAACAATCTGCCACCGTTGGTAAAGTGAAGGAAACACCTACAACAATTTCTATAAAAAAGGAAGTAAACATATCTAAATTTAAAAGGCAATAAAATAGTTCCTCTGGATCATTATAAGAACCTAGGTATTATAATACATGATTTAAAATTTGTTAAACATGTAAACCATCTAAGCTAACAGAGCTACGCTATTTTCAGAGTTTTATTTGCAAATAAGCCTATCTATAAAAATGAATCCTTATTTTGCGTGGTCACGCCATAACTGGAGAACGACTTTACCGATTTCATTCATCCTTTTTTCAGAAGTTTGCATATGCTGTATAGGGGGTTCTTAAGGAAAGAAAAATCAAGAAAATTGCGCAAAAAATTGGGAAACCATCGAAAACCTAATGATTATTTGAGCTACGCGCGATTGACAGTTTGCTTGAGCATGGAGCACGCACAACAGAAGAAATATCTCAAGTACCAAAAGAGACAGGCGCTCCTCTCCGCCATCTTTATTCCAACATCTATTGACAGTTAGCTATGTGAGAGAAAATTGCTTATGAAAACACGGTGCTTTCGTTTTTGGACTTAGATTTTTTTACTGTACTTACTTTGTGACGGTCCCTGTCCTGCAGTGTTGCATAATTGTTATCTGTGTCATTTTATTTTACTCTATGATTAAAAATGGCGGATGAAAATACGTTTCTTTTGCTTACGAGTAATTGACTTTCAATACTGTATCATTTTGAACTTAACATCTCGCACGCCGCAAATTTATATTATCGTTTAACAGTGTTTATCGATGGAAAAATATTGCTTTATTTAATTAGTAGTGCACAATCCACTCGATTAGACCTTTTATCCAGTTTTCAGTTTGTTCAGCGAGTTTTTTGAGAAGCATTTGTTCAAAAATAATTAAAAAGGGTGGAAGTTAGTTCACCGCAGTCACGCCTTATAGTAAAATTGTGATTCTTCAAAATGCCACCAATTAGAAGTACCAACCCAGGTCGCAGAACTCGCAATACTGCAAGTCAAAGATATATACCGAGAAGTCGTAGTGACGCTCATCGAGAAGCGAGAAATGAAGTTGAACGGATCGAAGGACTGAAATTCAACAACGTAGAAGTGTTGCATTTAATCCTAATCGAGCTGCATTCAATTATGACGTAGCAATCGAATACAGTTCACAACAAATCGTTGCTATTCGACCGCTGAACGTTGTGAGTCCACATTGCAAGGCTTTCAAGTTTAAAAACTAAGCCCCTGGATTATGTAACGTCAGTGGAAAGATGAAATTGACTCCATTGGTACCAAAGGTTAAGGACAAGGTACAAGAAACCAAACGGAGGTCATGGCAAAAATTTGGAGAGAGATGGAAGTTACCGCCAAGGACAACCAAAATTTGTACGAAAAACTCTGAACGGACAGGAAAGGCAGGGGCGGTGACCGCAGTAGTAGACTCTTCGGTCTCCTGATCAGTCGCCGTGCGCTGTGAGTGTTCGAATCCCGTCCCAAGAGAAATGTTTCTCTTGGCTATGGATGTTGGGATTGTCCGTAGGTGGTAGATGGTCTCTGACTGTCGATCGCAGAGGTACCACCCGGCGGATCTCGTAGGCGGGGCCAGAATGTATGCATGTTGCATGGACACATGTTCCCTCGCCAGAGTCTGTGTGGTGTTCCCTCTTTCCCCTGTATCCCCCTATGGCCCCACGGTACCACATGGGTATTTAAGCCTTAGGACTTCGTGGTGGTTGGAGTATAAAAAAAACACCAGAGCCCCTACAAACAATAGGTACCTTTACATTTACACTCTTTCCTGCGGGATTGGAACGCCCCGTTCCAATCACGCGAATTCTCGCGCGTCCAAGCGTGGCGCGTCCTAATACGAACTGTCTTAAAAATTACAACTGCTTATCGCTCGGTTTGAGTGTGTGTCATGGAACGGTATAGGATAAAAGTGCAAATGTAAATCAAAAACTGTCATCTTTCGCGAGTGATATTCGTGGCATGTGGAGTCTTGAAATTTTCAACAGTTTTCAAGGCGGTTTTTATCTTCATAATGGATAAAATAATTAAGAAACGGAAAATAAGAGCAGCTTTGTGCTTGGCTGTGTATCTAAATATTCCAAATAAGAGACAAAGAAAGTGTTGGGTGAAAACATGGTTGGAAAATCGCAACAGATATGGACTCTGCTTCATGAGTTGCGTGATAATTATCCCATGGATTTTAGAAACTATTTGAGAATGGATTCTGAATCATTTAGAATTTTGTTGGATTTGGTTTCTCCAATGATTTCTAAACAAGACACAAGATTGCGGGAGAGCATAAGTGCCGAAGAAAGACTAACAACTACTTTGAGATACTTAGCTACAGGTCGTTCGCTTGAAGATTTGAAATTTTCAAGTGGAATATCTGCACCATCTTTATGTAAAATTATACCTGAGACATGTAAAGCTATATATGAAGTATTAAGGAAAACATATTTAAAGGTAAGATTACTTGTTTTATTGAAATAAACTTCTTGTGATAACAAAACTTGAATATAAACTAAAAAATTAATTACTAAAATCCTGACTAGCTTGCTCATAGTAAGCTGTTATACTTGCTGAATCTAAAGCATGTAATTGAGATGTTCTTTCTGGACGATGTAATGAAGAATTTGATGAAGCAACACTATATGGGCTAGGCGGTGAGAAAAGTGGAAGTGGAACTGGTGATTGTTGCATAATTATCGTTGTCTCGGTTAATTGGTTTAATAATCCTTTATTTACAACTTGATTGATAAGCATATCTGCATAAAAAGCCTGAGTTGGATTCATCTTTTTAATTTTTTTCGCCCACGAAATTGCGGCTGCATCAAATTCATCAATTTCATTTTTGCTTTCAAGCTGATTCTTGCAGTAATTCATGAAGTCTGTTTGGGTCTTATTTTGTTTAGAAGTCTTACTTCTTTTATTTGAGGCAGGCTTGAAGGCAGTTGGACTTGTTGGACGTGCATGAGATGTTGAAGGCACTTGTGATGAAACACTTGCAGATTTCTAAAAAAAAATATTATTCTAGTTTCCATCTACGCAGCAGGATTGGCTGGAAGTAGCAAATGGATTTGAACAAAAATGGCAATTTATAAACTGTGGAGGAGCTCTGGATGGCAAGCATATTCGTATTGTACCTCCTCCTCATTCAGGAGCACAATACTATAACTATAAAAATTTTTATAGTATCATTTTAATGGCTCTCGTCAATGCTGACTACGAATTTATTTTTGTCGATGTAGGCAAAAATGGAAGATTATCTGATGGAGGAGTAATTGAAAGCACCAAATTTTATCATAAGTTAATTCATGGTAAGTTGTTATACTTGTATATATGTAATTATGAATAATATAATTTTGTGGTTTTAGGCCAGTTACATCTGCCAAATAACACAGACACAGAAAATAATTTCAATTTTGTATTTTTGGGCGATGAAGCATTTTCTTTACATGAAAACTTTTTAAAACCGTATCCTCAAAGAGATCTTTCTTATAGTAAAAGAATTTTTAACTATAGACTATCACGAGCGAGAAATGTTTCGGAAAATGCATTTGGCCTGATAGCGGCAAGGTTTAGAATTCTGCATACACCAATACATATGAAGAACCCGGAAAACATCTGTTACGTTGTACTTGCTATTTGTTCTCTTCACAATTTTCTTAGGAAGCGTGATACTTCTTATACAACATCAACATCATTTGATCAAGAAAATCTGATAACTAAAGAGTTACAGGTGGGTGATTGGAGAAAAAATGCCGTTAATATGACAAAATTAGAAAGTCGTAACAAAAAAGTAGCTACCATAGCTGCGAAAACTAATCGAGATAATTATACAAGTTATTTCAATTCAGATGGAAAAGTTGATTGGCAGGATGAAATGTTGGCCAAAGGAAAAGCTTAATGTATATTTTTGTTTTTAATAAATAAGTACCTAAAAAACTTACTTGTGTATTATTTACTTCTGTTTTCTCTTGAAATTCAACTTCTTCTTCAGTAGAGTGGTTGGAATTTTCTGTTCCTTCATCTTCCATGTTACAAATGCTTTGCGTGGGTATTTCCTGATCAATAGTAAACTGGAGTAAGTCGAAATACCATAATGTGGGAGTATAAATTTCATCTGTACTAGCTCCACTTCGCTTGGATTCCTCTATCTTTTTTAATTCCTTCCGAAAAGAACCACGAAAACTTTGTATTTTCTTCACAACATAATCTCGATTTGCTTCTGGATGTAATTTTGTACAAAACTCGACTAATTTGTCGTAAGCAGCATTTTTCAAATTTCTGTTTGTATATTCTCGGGATTTGATTTTCCATAAGCATGGATAAGATTTATATGTTTCAATAAACTCTGAAACAACTTCTTTCGACCAATATCGTGTATCTGCCATATTATCTACCTAACAATTAAAATAATTGAAACTTTGTATATGTATATACAATAAAATACTTACCCACGCTAGAACACAATTTACGCACAATTGCCCGCGCGAAAGTAAAATGTAATCAAACGTCTTACCTGCACGAAAATCACTAGCGACGAAAATGCGAGTTTGAACACGTCTAAAAACCGAGCGATTATTTCTCATTTACACTGGCATGCTTTCGCACACGATTGGAACGGGGCGTTCCAGTCCCGCAGGAAAGAGTGTAAATGTAAAGGTACCTATTGTTTTCCAGAAATGGGCCAGATGCTACACGTTTTTTGACTCATATCCAGCAATACAATAATTGCTTTCAAATGACGTCATTTGGCGCAACAAAATTCATTCCACATAGTGTTACGCCTACTTTCGAGGTTTTTGATGGGGGATTGACAGTGCTGCCAACGTTTTATGCGAGCCACATGGCGGTACAAACACTTCGCTATACAATTACCTATATTCTATATATTTACCCTTTTATTATTTATTATTCATCCCAGTTCATAGCTAAGACAGGGCAACGTCTGTGGGGTCAGCTAGTATTACATAAATCTGCGAAAAAGCAATTCTGTGAATCTTTATTGTTTTCAGAAATAAAAAATATCGTATTGCTTAGTGGTTTATCACCCCTATTTAGGTATAATAACAATAAATCGTATTCATAGTATTAGGAATACATGTTGCAGGCTTGCTGGAGGCAGCTGGATGAAAATTGATAAAATGTATGAATTCCAACTCCTAAGTCTGACTCGTAGGGTTGTTTATTCAAAAACACTGTCATATTTAGTAAGCAAATTCATACGTAGCGGCAATATGCATGGCATTAATGTCTGGTATAGAGAGACTTTTGCAATCCCACATCTCTATTTCTCGACATGTTCCGGGTGTTTTCAAAGTTGAGTAATTTATTTTAACTGCTTGTAGCATGCGTCAAAAGGATGTAAAAGTTGTATAATAAAAGAAAAAGTAAAAGATTAAAAATTTCAGAAAACAAGAATGTTATTACACAGATTTCTTGATATTCTCGACCACTGCCGTGTAAAATCTATTTTGTTTACTATTCTTATCGTTTATCTAAATTTGTGTTTTTGTATGGTTTTCAGTACGAGTCTTCGGTTCGATCAGTTATATCAGTCTTGTAATAGTAATACTGACATACGGAAAGTGCAAACAAAATGCATATTTGAAATACAATCAGTTATAATATATAATTCCTTAGACCATAGTTTAAAAGAAACAGTGTCATTACTCAATTTCAAGAAACAAAAATTCTACTTGATCAGCAGCGAAATCTTTTCTAACCAATAAGTGTTAACTGACTTTAAATTTTCTTTATGCTTTACATTAACTATGCTTTATTATTGTTATTGTATAAAGGTATTAATGTTTAACAACTTTTCAGTTTCTATACATCTCGTTAGTTAAGGGGGGTCAGATGGTACAATAGATCGCCTCCTCTTATGTTGTTAAAAATAAAAAAGACCTTAACTATATTATCATTATTTCTAGCGCTTATGATCGTCAGGATCTGAAGTTCATAAGCAACAGAAGAAGAACCACCTAGTAACTACGAAGAAAATTATACACATTATCATAGATTGAGCAAAGAACATAATAATAATAATAATAATTGTCTCATTGGATTAACCAAAAGGCGGAGTTCACGTGCTCTCACACTCAACCTTACAAAGTACCAAAAAAAAAAATACAAATAAAATAATGTAAATAGAAGTTATGAGTTGAATGTTCAACCCAATCAATTAAAGAATAAAAATTGAATATATAAGTGAAGACATTTCATTCTTGCTGCTTTTTTAAAATGAAAGAATTACTTGTCTTCTTGAATGGAAGTTCCCTCATCCCCAGAAGCTGCTGAGGGATCTTGTTATGTTCGTTAGCAACTTGGTAGCTGAAACTCCTAAATGGTTTTATTTTAATAAAATTTTGCATAAGTACTTAATGAAGCATAATAAGTAAATGATAAAAATTTCAAAATGATTGCACTGCTTTAAAGCCCTTTGACCTTTAAAAATGTGTGGATGCACCCTGATGTGCTACGCATTCTCCAACGCGCCTAGGCATGCTTCTGATCAGGTGGTCAATGTCCTCCTGTGGTATCTCATTCCAGGCAACCACCAACTCCTCTCGAAGTGCTTCTAGAGTCTGAGGAGGACGTTGCAAATTGAGCAATCTCCTACCCATCATATCCCACACGTGCTCAATTGGGGATAAGTCGGAAGATCTTGGTGGCCATGGTAACAATGTGACATCATTATGTTGAAAGAAGTCTATTATGACTCTTGCAACATGTGGTCGGGCATTATCTTGTTGGAAAGTTGGATCTGCCAGGGTGTCAAGATAGAGTAAAAGATGGGGTCCTAGAATTTCGTGGATATAACGCTGCGCGTTCATGTTACCTCTGATGAAGATTAAAGGTGACCTGGAACCATAAGCTATAGCACCCCAAACTATAACTCCAACAGTGTGATGAACATGTCTTTTAACAAAAAACTGTGGATTCCTCCTTTCACCACGTCGCCTTCTAACCCTGGCACGACCAGAGTGACCGTTGTCTGCACCACTCAAGGCGATTACGTCGGTGTTCTCGAGTTAAAGGGAGGACCCAGTGTGGCCGGTATGAAAACAAGCCAAAACTTCTCATTCGTCGGTAAACACTTCGCATGCCAATAGGTCTTCCGTGTTCTGCAAACCATTCATTTGCAATGGACCTGGTAGTGGAGAAACGGTCCCTTAAGGCCAATAATCTTAGGCGGCGATCTTCACGGTCTGTTGTTCTACGGCGGCGTCCAGTGCCCCTTGCTCTTTGCGTACGGCCTTCTCGAAGCCATGCCTGACAACACCTAACCACAGTGTCTACACTTCTTTGCACTCTAACTGCAATTGCCCGAAAAGAAAGTCCAGCTTCCCGAAGTCCCACTATACGGCCCCTATCAAACTCACTAAGTTGACGAAATCGTACAGGTCTTCGTACTCTAGGTATCGTAACCGATCGTAAAGGATGTCAAGAACCAAAATCCGCCAACGTTGATTCCTTACTGCGGCTGAAATATTCATTTTTAGAGCGTTAGTGAATTAAAAAAAAGCAGCACAAAAACCGGAATGTGCAACTGATGAGGCTGAACATTTTTTCACTTGTTATTTACAGTAAGATAAATACATTCACCAACTTTTATTAAAATAAAACCATCTAAACTGGGTGTTCGGATTTATATGTCACTTAGTATATCTGCTATATGCTAATAAATCTGCAAGAGTAAATTTGCTGCATCACATGATATTCTGAAAGCTATACGTATGGACCAAATCGAAATTAATTCCACAGATTAATATAAAATTATTAAGGTCTAATTAAAAATGCAAAGGCACCCCTCCAGGCGAAGCAGTTCCTCCACTTTGCCTCTCACCATTCTATCCTCTATCTTTATTTTGCGCCTCCTTTACCCTGGCTTTGTTTCATATCTGGGTTGCCAGAATTCACATATCTCACTTATACTTTAACCAACAGCGAAGTTCCTACGGACCACACTGACAAACAATGACGGAAAGACATACATATATAGGACTATGGAAATTCGAACTGCAACATTGTTTTAAGTTTCAGACTACAATCGTGCACTTTTTTGTACATCATCGATCAACGATCCTGTACAGCGATATCTCGCCATTAATCGCATAGCCCGGATGAGAGAGTCAGATATAGACTATTATCTCCAGGTGAGCGGAGAAATACGATGCTGGTTGCTCCTCGATGCGATTCATCAATTTACCTTCCACGTCTGTATGTCTGTCTGTCGCAATTGAAATGCAACACGACACTCAAATGCCGTGACGTATCTACTCAGATGCACACGTTTACTGTAAATTCATGGATATACTTGCATCATGAATCTACATTTACATGACAGACTATATGTACTAATATGTGAGCAGTATTTTGCGTATGCTTGGGTGGCACTGATGAAATTATTTGAAGAATATGATAATAAAAAAACCAACGAAATGTCATCTTGCAGACTAGGTACTTTTTAGGGTGCAAATAGTTCATTCCACATTTGCTCGCTATGATCGCTGTGGAGGAATGACTCAACAACACGCATTGTTGCTTGCAGAAATGTTTTGTGAAGCCGATTAGTCTGTAGTGTTTATCTCTGAGAAGATATTGATTGAGTAGCAAGATCGCATCTGCATGATTACGTGTATTGGCCTATATGTGTATAAAATCAGTGACTTTGCTATGTGAGAAAATTATTACTGAATATGCTGCCAATGAAGTATATCTATTAGCTGTGCCCGACGGGTTATTTATATGTTGTTCTTTCTGAAGACTCATTATGTTCAAAGTTATAAATTACGATTTTTCCCGTTTTTTTTTGTGCTTTCAGAAACTTGGAGGAGCATTACGGAAAATCGCCACCGCCCCCGCGTTGTGTGCAATTATGCCACATCACAAAAAAATTAGGAATGGCGCATCACACGTCAAACATTTTCGCAGTGACTTACATCTAGGCGCTGATTTGAATTTTTTATTGACATCGCAAAATAAATTTCTAAACCATTCAAATGACTGGAAATGAAAAATAATGTAATACTCTTTTCGCTTTCATAAATATTTCTGTCTGTAGCATATTTTCTCACCTGTTACTTCACTTTCCAGGGATTTTCTTTTCTTAACTCTCCCAGTTCTGAAATCCAGCAAATTTGCATATGTAATTTCCAGAATGAATAAGAAAAACAGGATGCGTAACTAATTCTTAGCTTTGAATCTTAGGTAAGTGTATTTGAAATAAGAAACCAACGGAATTCTCAACCCATATTTTTGCACACAACTCCTCACTATGCACCTATGCACTGCCGTTTCCTTCCAGCTGTAGTATACAACTTACAGCTTAGATCTCCAATAATGCCTCTACGTTATGTCAAAAAACCGACCTAATGTAACTTTTCAAATTGCGTAATACGGCACAGGTATTACCGATTTTCTATGACATTACCCGTAAGTTTGTTCTGACATTATTTTCTATAAAATTTCAACTTTGACATTGACTTCAAGGTCACTTGTAGTAGGCGCGCAGTAGACTGGCAGCACACACATTTTTTCAATGGAGAGCCAAGCATTTTACTACAGATTTCGATAGGGTCTTTCA